AAGTTACTTACATTGTGTCCACTGAAATGAATGAAAACCCTTTAAGRCTTTCTTTCTGCAACAGAAAAAAAATAAGAAATTTGAAGCAATAACAYCTCAGCTTCTACCAAGTTCCAGCATCCAGTTTCTTGTTTTGGACCATTTTATGCACGTATTAACACTCGTGTACATCTACGGCGTGGCTAATTCAATCCCAGAACGACCTCTCCTCGTGCCTCCTCTTTCCCTTTCCGCCAAGAAACTTCAATTATTCATGAGGGATCAGCGCACCCACAGAGAGTCAGGTTTCAACTCCTACAAACTAACACCAGTAAGCCGATAGCCCACAATACCTGCAGTCGCGTAATAACAAGGGAGCTGCTTTACGGCTGATGCATTCCTCAACACACACTCTGTGCACAGTACCTGTGGTGTGTTGGGAGGTTTGGAGTTATAGTGGCTTAAAAGTGTGTGTTTTAATGTGACAGCAAGGAAAACAAGGCCCTGATTTCAGGCTGCATGATGGAAAACTCAACAATAGCTCATTCTTGGTGGCTGTTTTGCAATTTAAGGTGAAAAATGGGAGTTTAGTTCAAATATTAGGGTGTATTTCAGTGTGACACCAGCCATCTGTCTCTTTAAATCTCTTTGTCTTTCACACCCCGACAACCACACTCAACCCACTCAAATCAAATAAAAAACAATCCCCAAGGACTGTCCTTTCAGATGATGGGGGGAGTGCCAAACATCTTTCTCACTGCTACTGACTGAGTGTAATAAAGGCCTTTGTTGTGCTGGCCTGCCTGCAAACCAGAAACCAGAGAAAAAGTTTCGTCAGTCACACCATAGTTTGTTGATTTGCAAAGTTCCTGACCCAAAATTATAGAAATGAGATGAAAGATCTTGGAATAAATACGTCTTACCTGGAGCAGCGTGATAATAAATAAAGACTGAACCGTTTGGATCTCTGGTTTATTGAGCAACACATATTTAACAGGTGCACAGCTGCTTGGATACTGCACACAACATCCTAACAACTCAGAATTTAAAGTGACAGCCAAGATGTGTGCAGTGAGAAAACTGAACAAGATCTCATAATATAGTTTTTTTAAGGAAAGAAAATAAAATCAAGCATCAGTTTAACATACCTTTTTCACTTTATTGTCAGCCTTTGAAACAATGTCAGCTTCTTAAGGTCCCTTTCAGCAGGAGTTGCAGAAGSAGCCGTTCAGGAACTGGAAATCCATGTCACTGAATATTAACTGCAGTTAAAAATGGTCCCGCTGGTTTCAGACACACAAGGTCCCAACAACTTGCCTGTGTGGGTAAGTAACCACCTCTACATCCAGCATGGTGCCTTTTCAAATGACTACTGCTGTGGAAGAAGTGAGCCTGTCAAAGCCTGGGATGGATCACGGAGTGGACCCTTTTCTTTTTTTCTTTTCTTTTTTCCTTTTTTTTTTTTT